CCGTGCCGTCCTTGTGGGCGGTGATGGGGTTCTCCATCTTCATGGCCTCGACGACGGCGATCTGGTCGCCGGCCGAGACGGTGTCGCCCTCGGAGACGGTCACCTTGATGACCGTGCCCTGCATCGGGGCGGTCACGGCGTCGCCGGAGACCTTGGCGCCGCCGCCGGCGCGCTTCTTCGACTTCTTCTTCGCCTGCGGGGCGCCGCCACCGCCACCGCCGATGGCCAGGTCACCGGGCAGCGACACCTCGAGGCGCTTGCCGCCGACCTCGACGACCACGTTCTGGCGGGGCAGGGACTCGTCGGCCTCCTCGTCGCCGGGCGCGGTGTAGGGCTCGACCTGGTTGTCCCACTCGGTCTCGATCCAGCGGGTGTGCACGGCGAACGACTCGGCGCCCTCGGCCGCGACGAACGCCGGGTCGCGCAGGACGGCCTTGTGGAACGGGATGACCGTGGGCAGGCCGTCGATGACCAGCTCGTCGAGCGCGCGCCGGGAGCGGGCGATGGCCTGCGCGCGGTCCTCGCCGGTGACGATGAGCTTGCCGACCATCGAGTCGAAGCCGCCGCCGATGACGGTGCCCTCCTCGAGGCCCGCGTCGAGCCGGACGCCCGGGCCCGCCGGGGTGTGGAAGACCGACACCGTGCCCGGGGCGGGCAGGAAGCCGCGGCCGGCGTCCTCGCCGTTGAGCCGGAACTCGATCGAGTGCCCGCGCGGGGGCAGGTCCTCGGTGAAGCGCAGCTCCTGGCCCGCGGCGATGCGGAACTGCTCGAGCACGAGGTCGATCCCGCTGGTCTCCTCGGAGACGCAGTGCTCGACCTGCAGGCGGGTGTTGACCTCGAGGAACGAGATCACGCCGTCCTCGCCGACGAGGAACTCGACGGTGCCCGCGCCGGAGTACTCGGCGGCGATGCAGATGTCGCGGGCGGCCTGGTGGATCTCGGCGCGCTGCTCGGTGGTGAGGAACGGCGCCGGGGCCTCCTCGACGAGCTTCTGGTTGCGGCGCTGCAGCGAGCAGTCGCGGGTGCCGACGACGACGCAGTGCCCGTGCTGGTCGGCGATCACCTGCGCCTCGACGTGACGCGGGCGGTCGAGGTAGCGCTCGACGAACGACTCGCCGCGCCCGAAGGCGGACTCGGCCTCGCGGACCGCGGCGTCGAACATCTCGGCGATCTCGTCGCGCTCGCGGGCCACGCGCATGCCGCGCCCGCCGCCGCCGAACGCCGCCTTGATGGCCACCGGCAGGCCGTGCTCGTCGGCGAACGCGATGACCTCGTCGGCGTCGGCGACCGGGTCCTCGGTGCCGGGCACGCGCGGCGCGCCGACCCGCTCGGCGATCTTGCGGGCGGTCACCTTGTCGCCGAGGTCACGGATGGCCTGGGGCGAGGGGCCGATCCAGATCAGGTCGGCGTCCTGCACGGCCTGGGCGAAGTCGGCGTTCTCGGAGAGGAAGCCGTAGCCCGGGTGCACGGCGTTGGCCCCGGCTCCTTGGCCACGTCGATAGCTTGGCGATGTCGAGGTAGGTCTCGGCGCCGGTCTCGCCCTGCAGCGAGTACGCCTCGTCGGCGAGCCGCACGTGCGGCAGGTCGCGGTCGGGGTTCGCGTAGACCGCGACGCTGCGCAGCCCCGCGTCACGGCAGGCGCGGATCACCCGTACGGCGATCTCACCCCGATTGGCCACCAGAACCGTGTGCAGGGGCGCGAACGCCTGCGGGGCGGTCGGGGCCATGGGTGAACCTCCGGGGATCGGCGTCGAAGACGAAGCGGAGCTCGATCTGGTGACCGGATCGAGGGTGGCGCGAGTGTAGGGGGGTCGCGCTCGCCGCACTCTCTCGTACTCCGGTCGGCGGTGCGGCGGCGGCCGTAGTGGTCATGACCACACCTCGAACCCACGCCCGCCACGATCGTGCGCGGTCCGGTCGTGCGGCGGCGGGGGCCGCGGCGGCTACCGTGCGGTCCTGATGCAGCCTTGGTGGTGGCGGTGGTGGCCGCTGCGGATCGGTGCTGGCGCGTGGCCGGCCTGGTCGCTGCTCCGTCGCGCGGCGCGAGCGACGGCGACCGCGCCCAGGCCGCGAAAACGACGCGTGCGGGCCGGTCCTCGTCCTCGCGGAGCCGACCGACGCCGACGAGCCCCGCCGCCCAGGCGTCCTCCGACGACCGCCCCCGGGTGCCCGAGGCCCCCGCGCGGGCGACCGGGTGCTCGACCGGACCACCGGCGCGAGCGTGACGCTGCCGGCGGCGGCGCGCGCGCGTCCCGACCAGGAGCGTCGTGCCCGTGCCGGCCGGCCGCTTCGGCACGGTGCTGGCCGCGGGCGGGCGGGCCGTGGTGCTCGTCGGCGCCCTCGAGCCGCGCGCGTGCGGACGCCCGCGACGGTCGCCGCCCTCGAGGCCGAGCACGGCGGCTCGTCGCGGCGCTTCGCCGACGGACGCCGCCCCGACCGCCACCCGGGTCGTCTCGCTGCGCGACGACGACGCGGGCATCGCCGGCGTGCCGCCGCGACCGCCCTGCGCCGCGTCGACGGCGGCGACCGTCGCACGGCGGGCGCGCTGGTGCGGGTCAGCACGGTCGACGCGGCCCCGGGCGCGCGCGCCGGCGTGGTGCTCCTCGCGGTCGTGCTGCCCGGGCCGGCGCAGGCCGCGGACGCGCGGGCCGCGGAGGCGGTCGTGCGGTCGCTCGAGCCGGTCAGGCCCCGTCCGGCTCCGCCCCAGCCGCCCGGCCGGCCCGGCCGTCCACAGGTCGTGACCGCGACGCCGAGCTCGGCGAGCAGCCGCCGCGTCAGCGCAGGCTCAGGCCCACGACGTTCGACGGGTCGCCCTCGATGCCCTCGACGAACCACCCGCCGCGCCCGTCGAGCGTGAACGCCCCCGCCACCTCGAGCGGCTCGCCGGTGGCGAGGTAGGCCTCGAGCTCGGCGGTCGTGGGCTCGGCGAAGGTGACCATCGTCGTGGCGTGACCGGTAGCTCTCGCGCTCGGCGCGCCCTCGCACACCCGCACCACGGCGCCGTGCCCCGTCACCAGCTCGCCGCGGGGCCCCGACATCCGGTCCCAAGCGCCCGCGCGGCGCCCTCGACCGTGCCGGGCTTGCCCACGAGCTCGCCGTCGAGGTCGAGCATCGAGTCGCAGCCCACGACGACCGCCTCCAGGCGCCCGCCCGCGACCTCCGCCGCCACCTGGCGCGCCTTGGCCAGCGCGAGCGCGGTGACCTTCTCGGCCGACGTCGCGTCGGGGAGCTCCGCGAGCAGGGCCTCCTCGTCGACGCCCGAGACCGCGACCACCGGGTCGACGCCCGCCGCGCGCAGGATCGAGCGCCGCGCGGGCGAGGCGGACGCGAGGACGAACGTCGGCGCGGGCGCCGGCTCGTCAGCCACGTCGACCCGACGCCACCCACGCCCCCGGGCCCGGACGGACGGGCGCGCGCACGAGGCTCGCCCGGTCGTTCCAGAGCGAGGTCGGCCCGCGCTCGGCCTCCCCGCCGCCCCCGGACGCCGCCGCCAGCACGACGGTCAGGGCGGCGAGCTCCTCGGGCGAGGGGTCGCCGCGCACGACGCGCAGCACCGGGCGCTGCGGGGTCTCCTCGGGGGTCTCCTCCGCGGCGCCGTCCACGGTGCCCTGCTCCTGACTGCCCTCGGCGCCGCTCACAGCGGGATGTTCCCGTGCTTCTTGGGCGGCAGCGTCTCGCGCTTGGTCTCGAGCATGCGCAGCGAGCGGGCCACGTAGCCGCGGGTGTACGACGGCGGGACGACCGCGTCGATGTACCCGCGCTCGGCCGCCACGTAGGGGTTGCAGAGGGTGTCCTCGTAGTCCTGCTGCAGCTCGGCGCGCTTGGCCTCGACGTCGCCGCCGGAGTCCTCGGTCTGCTTGAGCTCCTTGCGGTACAGGATGCTCACCGCGCCCTGCGCGCCGGTCACGGCGATCTCGGCGGTGGGCCAGGCGATGTTGACGTCGCCGCCCAGGTGCTTCGAGCCCATGACGTCGTAGGCGCCGCCGTAGCCCTTGCGGCAGACCACCGTCACCAGCGGGACCGTCGCCTCGACGTAGGCGTAGATCAGCTTCGCCCCGCGGCGGATGATGCCGTTCCACTCCTGGTCGGTGCCCGGCAGGAATCCCGGCACGTCGACGAAGGTCAGCACCGGGACGTTGAACGCGTCGCAGGTGCGCACGAACTTCGCGGCCTTCTCGCTCGCGCCGATGTCGAGGCAACCGGCGAGCTGGTTCGGCTGGTTGGCCACGACACCGACGGGCCGGCCCTCGACGCGGGCGTAGCCGGTCACCAGGTTCGGCGCGTACAGCGCCTGGACCTC